GATTCTTGATCAGGATCAATAATATTGAACATTCTTTGGATATTATCAAGAATCTCTAAATACATAGACGGGGTACCAGACCAGATGTGGCAGCAATATGCAGATAAGGGATGAATGGCACACTTATAAATATGTAAGATAAATTCTGGTGAGAAAAACTGTCTAGCACGACACAACGAACTACCTTTCTTAGCAGAAGACCTAGCAATTGATTCAATATAATATTTCCACTTCAAGTTAGCAGATAATTTTAGCCCGAGAAGGCGAAACGAGTAACTCTCCGATGCTGGCGGAAGGCAGAAAGAGGTCCCTCAGATGATCGATAGAGAGCAGTTTCATTCTGGAGGTCTTAAAACTAACAAGCCATCCATTGCCCCAGTTAACAAAAGATTGTAGGTCATTTTTAAGATCAACTGCCAATTTGACATCATCGAACTGACTAGACTTTCTATTAAGACATGAGTAAATAGTTTTATCCTCAGTATAGATACTGAGTTGAGAACTGATGACATCAGGAAGGGAATTGATGAAAATTTGGAACAACCTATGTCCAAGGATAGAGCCCTGGGTTGGGGGGGTGTTATCATCTGCGTTAATTCATACATCATTTCTACGCCAGGGCTACATAGTTTTTGAACTCAAAGTTACTTCTCTTAGACAGGTTCCCAGTATGCCCTGCTATTTGCCCATACCTCGGAAGAGAAAAAGAGGATATTTGCATTGCCCAAGTGTATTAGCACGTCAGTGGAAGTAATGGGTCCGACTAGAATTCGATATTGACTCTCCAAATCCGCAATCTGAACCGCTATCCGTGCCTAATTTATAGGATGAATGTATTTAAACAGTTTGTTCAAAATTCAGATCCGTATTGCAAAGTATTTAAAAAATATAAGAAATTAAACAGACATAAATAGTGAGCATTAACTTGCAACGACTTTTATCTAAAATAAATAATGTTTTCCAACTTTTATCTTTATTGAATTCCATACTTGAAGATACGAGCGCTGAAACTTTAGACACACACGCACATTATATATAGTGATTTTCCAAGTATAGCTTAGATTGGCACAAGGCCTAAAGTAGGGGTACACAGTGAGGATTGAACTCACTACTCATTCGTAATTGTTCTAGCGAGACAAGCTTGCTAACTATTACACTGTCTCGAGGTGCCTAACGCACATTATATATATGTAGGCATGTGTTATTGAAGACTGCGGAACTTTGCCGTTTAATAATTGTCTTTCGATTTTTTCTTGGTTTCTTGCAAGTTTCTTTATATTTGGGTCTAAGTTGAAATAAGTCCGCAATCCTTGGTGTGTTTTAATAACTTAGACCGAAATATAAAGACTTGCGAGAAAGCAAGAAAAAATCGAAAGAAGATTATTAAACGGAAAAATTCCTTAGTCTTTAATAAGACATACCTCAATAATGACATAATGCCAAAACACACACACACGCGCGCGCGCATACACGCGTGCGTACACACACACACACACACACACATATATATATATATATATATATATATACCTTCGCAGCCTACCTGTACATGTTGAATTTGATATAATATGAATTCAAATGAACTATGTGTATGCTTGTACATGTATGCGCGAGTATGTGTGTGTGTGTGTGCATGCGTATACAAAGATAGATAATTATGTGTAAAGACGTTTGTAACTGATCGTAATATGGAGTGGTTGTAATCTATGTCCTAAAGTAGTTTGTTTACTTGTTTGTTTGTTTACAGATATTCGGCTAATCCTTGGCACGCGAACATAGTGTGGCATCCGAAGTTCAGAAGAGCACAGAACGAGAGTAATTCACCCTGGTGCAACGCGTTCGAGCACACACCAAAGGATTGGTTGTCAATATTACATCTTTATAGCTTCAGGCTGGACAAAATAATTACAACGCTCCACAGGTGAAACGATATCACTAAATCGAACATATGGATAATATATATATATATATATATATATATATATATATATATATATATATATATATATATATGCATGTATGTGTGGGAGCGTGAATATATACAGATAATTTCAAAGATAAGTACATGAATGTATTCAAATATACATATCGATAACTTCACATATGTGTATGTACAATTTTCTTTGTGTATATATCTTAATTTATTTACACTAAAATGTCCGTTGATATACATTTGCATGTAAATATTTTGATTAAACACGAAGCAAAATACATAAATCTGAAAGTATATTTACTAATATATATATTGCTATTTTCCTATATATTTATATGTGAATTTAAGTAATGTATACATATATGCAGAGAATAAACATATAGCAACAGCTTTCCCCTACTTTGAAAAGAGTTATGTGTGTATGTGTGCGCGCGGGCTCAGTGACGGAAACAACCTTGCAATACACTGATAGAAGTTATTAAAGAAGCTCTGAAAAACCCATTTGGAAAGTTCACATTCCATATGTTTGTATTAATTCAGTCAAATTTCCGGCCTTTGTTTACATCT